AGAAAGGTGAGATTGACGTTGGAATAATATAATCTTTTCTAAAAACATATTTCCCTAAATTTTGGCTGTCTCTTAACTTTGCTAATATTTTGGGTTAATTACATTTGGCAGTATCTCATTATATTTTTTGGTTGCATTTCTGATTCACATCATTTTACCCCAACTAATTTAGACCGAATTCGACGGGTTTTATCCTTGCTTAATTTTATGAAATCAAGATTTTTTTGAAAATTCAAATTTGATTAGAGTTCAAGTTTAAGGTGAAAAGTACCTAACCTGAACCTATCCGAGAATAATAGTATAATTGATATTTTATATATTTAGTGATAATGATATTTCTATTTTATAATTTTCTATTAGGTCTTTATTTTATCTAATAAAAATAAAAATTATATATGTATGTTCATGTGTAAACGAGTCTCTATTTTTCAATTAGGGTTGTAAACGAGTGGAGTCAAGCTCGACTCGACTCAAGAAACTAAAAAAAAGAGTTTGACTTGGTTCGAAAACTCACAAGCCTAAAATTTTCAAACTCGACTTGTACTCGAAACCATGAATTGAAGCTCGAGAAAAGTCAAAAAAAAATTAACTCGATTGAAACTCAAACTCGAACATGAACCTTAAATGCATGAAAATTTTATATTGCATTTTAAAAAAAATCAACACATAAATGTTAATATGACTAATAATTTATTTTTTAAAAAACAAAATCTTAATATATTATATTTTCGAGTTGCTAGCGAGCTTTTCAAGTCGAGTATTAAGTAGTCCGTTTCTGCTCGTTAAGAACTCGAGTCAAATCCATTTGAATCGAGTTTTGATTGAATCGTTCTCGAGTAGGTCACGATATGTCTCGTCTCATTTACAACACTAGCATCATTATTGAGCTTAATCCATTAAACATATAGCAAAGGGGTAATATATTTTTAATTATATATAATTTTAGTATTAAATGATAATTTAGATTTTAATATTAAACATATTTAAAAGGGTTAATTTAACATTATGTAACTATATTTTTATATGATATCTAATTTATTAAATGTACTTTGAAAATTTTGAAATATTTTTTTGATAAAATATATAATTTAGTATTTATATATTTTCCTAAACATTCAATATAATACAGAAATTATCATTTCGTATATTATTATTATTATTGTACTTCGGTTTAAATTGTTTGTAAGTTTCATTCATGAATAATTATTTCATGTATTATTTTGATATAAGAATTAACATTATCGATAAGTATTAAATCAAGCAATGAAAATTTTCAAATACCATAATAATACACATGATGATCATTGATGTATTACATTGGATGTTTTGTACAGTACAAATTCGATATTGCCGCTTCCTTTTTTTCCCTATGTTTAGTTGGCGGGCGGCATAACCATCTTAGTGTTGGTTGTTGTTATTGATTTTTTTTTTTTTATCTTGCAGCTTTGTTATTTTGGTAAGTTGTGCGTCTATGATTCATTTTAGTATACTGTTTAAAATTTAACGTTAAATTTTGAAAAAAAATTAAAAGTTTAAGTACTGAAACGGGAAAAAACTTCATGTATTAAACGCGTTAAGTTTTTAATGACGAGATACTAAAATGAAACCAAAACTAAATTTTAGGTGTGATTTTGAAAAAAATTAAAATTTAGTACTAAAACATGCTAAAATTAATAATTTATGTACTAAATGTGTTGTTTACCCTTTTTGTTTTGTTTATAATAACATTTACGGTTTTCTCTTCCTTTCTGACTTTTTTTTTGCCTAGTACAAAAATGAGATTTTGTACCTAAATAATTTTTTATTAAAAATAGGTGTCTAACGTTTTCAACGTTACATTTTTAGATGTATGGATTGTAATAGTTGTTAAATTTATTGTTATTTGACTAGTATCATACATATAAAATTTCAAAAAATATTTTATTTAAAAAATTAATATCATAATTTAAAAATTAAACCCCCCCCAAATTTTACATTTTTCGTCGTCGATCAGCCACGGTCGGTCAATGGCCCTCACTATTGACATCATCAAAACCGTCTCGCCGTCACGTCCAAAACCTAATCTCCCACCACCGTAAATCCGTGTCGATCGTCGTGAAAAACGTCGCGAAGTATTTCCTAATTTTTAGTTATTTTCGTTTATATTTTTCGGCGATTTTGTTGTATTCTTCGTCGTGCTCCGAAAAAAAAAACAATTAACGATGATCGTTCGCCGTTGGAGGTGGGACGACAGGAGGGAAAGGGACGACGAGAGAGAAAGGAGTTTGATATTTTTTATTATTACAAAATAAATGGTAAGCACATAAAAGTATAACGAATAAAACGTTAGGCATCTATTTTTAGCGAAAAATTCTTTAGACACTTAATCATATTTCGAGGTATACTTTAGACACTTATTTTTATATTAAGTTTTTTCCGACCGTTTGATCATTCTTTTCGTTCATTTTTCACATAAATTTATTTTTTTGCGTGTTTAAATTTTGATTTATGTATTTTAAATATAATTTACTTTAAAATTTATCTTACATTTTATATTTAGATCGATATAAAGGAATAAAAAATTTAATTGATATAATATTTATATCTTAACAATTTAATTAGAACATTTAAAAGTATAAAGATTATTTTGAAATTTAATCTATAATTTTATGAATTAAAATATATCAAAAAGTTGAAAGCAAGGTAGAAGAATAAAAGAAAAGGAGTCAATTTGATTGTTGTGTATTAAAACGAGCTGGAGAGGCTGTTATTTATAGGTTTAAAATATATAAGTGGAACACGTGTCAAAGACTTGTGTCAATATGAACATAGATATAAATCGAATAGACGAGTGTACACATACAAAACATATATTTTCTAATATTCAACTAAAGAGAATATATATATATATATATATATTAATAAAGGCGTATCCAAAAATATTTTTAAGGTGGACATATATATATTAATAACAAAAAAATTGTATTAGACAAATACAAATAAAATTTCAGAGTGAATACATTCAGTAAAATGAATAACTAATATAAAAAAAATTCAGATTTTAGGACGGACATATATATATATATCCTTTTTAGAATATTTCCCCCACTTGCTATGAGATTCTACATTCTTTGTATTATCAAGCTTATACGTATGTACATCTACATTAAGAAAAGGGAGAAAATATGTCTAGTTTATTTATTTCGGTTACTTGGCAGTTGGCGAGAAGTGTAAAGATGAACTTATGGTTGATAGAATTTCTATAAAAAAGATTAATAAACTTAATTTAAATTAGATGGAGACTATCGGGCAATTAATTTTAAGACTCGATTTAATTAAATGTATAGGAATGAAGCTTGGAGTATCATTGATATAACAGCTTGAAGAATTGTTCTTTGTATTTATCTGCACTTTAGCATCAAATTTATGTTATATATTATTATTATTTCCACAATACCGTGAAACCTTTTAAAAAAAATTCTCCTTTTTTTTTAAATAAAACCTAAATTAAAATTTAGGGTTAAAACTAGTAACAAAAAGGGAGATCATGAACATTTGGTGTGATAACCGAGTAAGTGAAATGCGTAATTTTATGTTAGATGACGAATTTATAAAATTTTAAAGGATAATATTTTAAAATGTTTAGGAGGAACAACCGTCTCTACTCGCTCTTCTCTCGACCCATCATCTATGGGTTTGATAGTTGTAGTTAACCATGCACCAAAAAGGGGAAATCGTGAACAATTTGGTGCGAGTATCATTAAGCTTCCGTTAACCAAAAATTAATCACAAAATAAGATGCATTGTGACAAAATATTTGCTAGATAGAGACCTCTCACTAATAACACCATCACAAGGGGTTATAACATATGGGGATTAGTTGGTGAGTTTAGATGCTCATATCTTAACCAAAACGTTACGAAAGAGGAGGAGGTTTACAATAATTGACGAGCCCACCCATCCCCACCTTTGATTATTCCTTCCGATCCCCTTTTGATAAAGCCCTAACACCCTCTCCATTAAATTTGATTTGATACCCACTCCTTTATTTGCTTTGAATTTCCCAATTTCACCCCACACGCAATACCCAAGCAGTTTGGTGAACCAGGAGGCTCTTCACTCTTGTCGACCTTAACCACTAGCGGATCCAGGTTATAGATGGGATGAGCAAGTGTTTATATTAAAATCTGAATTTTTTCTGTTAATTGTCTATGTTTAGGGTAAATTACATTTTTAATATCTCAACTATCAATTTTATCAATTGAATTAATAGTGATGAGGACATGGCCTAGTATAATTAATAGTTTTATCTGTACATTCTGTCAATTTAATAATAATTTAGAATAATTCAATAAATTTAACTCTTAATATTTCAAAATCTTATCAATGTAATCCTTAAACATATCATCCCATCATCCTGCATCAATAACTGCAAATCTAACCCAAAGATCCAGCAATCAAAGATCTTTTCTTTAGATTCCCTCTTGAAAAATTCTTTCATACTCTCCCCGAAGAACACCGCAGAGGAATAAGAACTTTGGAAATTTTGTCAAAATAGAATCAACCTATAGTTTAGTGACTAGTTAGATAGTTTACCCATTTCTTTTATACATAAATTCAATGGTAAACTACATGTTTAATACCTAAACTATTATGTTTGTTTCACTTTGGTGCCCAGACTTTATTTTATTGCTTCAAAATCAAACCTAGCGTTTAATTTATGTTTCATTTTGGTACCCAGTTAAAAACTTAACGGTGATGTTGACGTGTTACCATAAGATAATATGATATCATCATTGAAAAATGTCATGTCAGCGATTTTATTATTTTTTTAACAGCGGGATACCAAATTGAAACCTAAACTAAACATTATGTCTGATTTTAAAAAAATAAAATTTGGGTACCAAAACGGAAAAAATAATAGATTATGTACTAAACGTATAGTTTAGCCTAAATTTAAAACAAATAAAAGATCGCAGAGTAAGTATCCTTTGGTTTTTTCAAAAGCACCAGCGAAGAGAAAGCGGGAAGACGCCATAAAACCCTTGTGGAAACAAACATAAATTAACTAACTCTTTAACCACGAAAGCAATGGAAAGCAGCTCAACGGCAACGGAAACGGCGAGACACACTTGCCTCAAGCTCGAAATTCCAAACACCGGTCCCCTCTTCGTAAAAGGCACGTGGTTCGATACACACTTCGATCTCTCCGTCACCGACGGCCTCCGCGCTTGGGTCTGCAACGGTACTTCTCTGCCTCTTTGACAAAATTTCCCCCGATTTTAACACGGATGTCTTCTATTTTCAGTTAAATGATTTTTGAATTTGTGGCAGCGACGGAGGAGGAGGTGCAGGAAAGAGCGGCTCAGTGGGACCACCCGGTCGCTAAGTATATTGAGTTAGCCGAACGGTATTTAGGGTTTCAACAGCCCGGTTCAGTCTACCGGTTCGTGGACGCCGGCGATGATCACAAAAGAGTTAGCGTTCCCTTTTCTATGAATTTGAACTTAGAAGAATTTGATTTGAATCTGTTTTTTTCCTTCAGAGTACAAAATAATGTTACCAGTAGGTACAAGGAAAGAAATATAGAAGGGAAATCACTACTTATATGAAACGTAATTCAATAGTTGTGAAACTTTATAGTAAATTATATGATTTGTTGGAATGTAAAACGTGTTTTTGAATCTTTATATATATAGTTTTTGTGTTTACATATATCCATAATTCTAAATAAATACAACCCATTGAGTGACCTCGAGGTTAAAAGGAGTGTTGTTCTCGTTTGAAGTTTCGGGTTCGAGCAGTTGTGTTAGCAAGGCTTGTGTGTTGTCAATAATTAGGTAAGATTATGAACAAATACTAACTTGTAATCACCCAGATTATTAAAAAATAATTCTAAATAAATATATTATGAAGTTTGTGAACTCACTTCTGGTAACAGTGGTATAAAATGCAATAGTAACTAATAAATTTCAAACTCATATGACGTGTTTATTTTTTCTCCTTTTGTTGTTGCAGCTTTCATGGACTTTCGAAAAGGAAGGAACTAAGCTTGAATGGCGATGGAAATTCCAGCCATCGCCTGATAGCAGAAAGATTACTGCAGGAATTTTGGAATTTCTTATGGATGCAAACATTAATCTAAGTGTAGTATTTTCCCTTTTTTTTCCATTGTCTTATTTTCTTGTCGCTTTCCATTAGTTCAATCATAAGCTCTTCAGCTTTTTGTCGTTTGTTAATTACAATGGCAATGGTATATATATATATATATTTAGTTTTATGCCATAATGATACTATGGCAGGTAATTAATTATTGAGAATTTTACAGGAAGAAGTGGTTAGGAAAACTCAATCTTTTGAGAAGCTAAAAGTGGAAGCAGAGAAATGTTTAGAACAAAGTGAGAGGCATACCAATGACAAGATGGAATTTGAATCCGGAATCTATGCAAAGGTGTGCTACTAAAATATTGGCATGTTCATGTCGGTCCATCCACATAATCAAATGCAAAATCCTTGTTTTCTTAATTGTTTTAACAGAGTAAAATGATATAAAGCAACCGTTTCAGATGGTCCTCTGCATCCCTCTCCATGTTTAAACCATTCTGTTATTTCAAAGGCAAGCTAATGAAATAAGGGAATTTTTAAAATGAATACAAAGATGGATGAGTATTTGTTAGGACAGAGCACTGGATTCCTTAGCTACTTCTGGTTTCATTTGATCATGTTATAGATACCTGCTATGTTTCTAATTTTTCTTCCTTCACCTTCTTGTTTTCTATTCGGGTTTTTTTATGTTCTCTTTTTGGGATTGGTAATTTCTTCGATGTAGCAATATAGTTGATAAATAACATTCGTTTGGTTATGATTGTTAAATTGTAAATATTTCTTGTATAGGAATATTCCTTTTCATATTTCAGCTCGTTTTTTCATGATCTCTTTGATGAATTCTAGAGCATATATTAAGCTGAACTGTGTTTTGATTTGATTCATTTTTTCCCTCCGCTTGTTAGATCTTATCTGACTTAAACCATACTAGCAAGAATATATCTGAAAAACCATCACCTATAAATCTTAGCCAATTTTAGATCAGGGAGAACCACGTTTATTAGACTTAAAAACAGTGTATTATGTTTGTTGCAAGTTAAAACTGTGTTTTGTTAGTAAAACTTCGAAGAAAAATCATAAACATTGGTAATTACTGCACACTAGTGTTAAAATAAAGGAGCTTTCAAATTTTGAAGAATGAACTGACCTCTCTGGTCATTTTAGTGAACTTGAGAGGAATGGGATCCTTAGTTTAGAATGACAAAGTTCGGCTTGTGAACATCAACACTGCTCCAACAGTTTACGCCTTACGGAGCCAAGCAACATGGCCGGACATGTCTGATATATATGTTCTAGTAGTCTTCCTTGGGCTGGCAGTTTTCTCTTGGTGTTATCATGTTGTCAATTTCCCTCAGGTTTCAAACATTTATGACTACTTTCAGTTGATATGCATGTTTGATGCTATCATCCGGTTAGCTAGTGAAGTAGAAATCTCAGTTTCTGCCTCTCATTTTCAATTTTCAGCTGTTGCTTTAGAAGAGTAAGGATGAATATGATATTGTATCAGAACATCCCATGTTATCTTCCAGAAAGTAGGCCGTTTGTCGAAAGTCTTTCCCAATCGAGTCTTTTGCCGGACTCTGTTAGTATCAAAATTGTGTTCCTCACCACATATACTTTTAATACATAAAAATATTATTGTCGGTTTTCACTTCATTCTCCTGACGTTATGACTGAATTGGGTTTTCTCCCGTCTCCAGTTCCTTGGGGTGTTGAATTCGAAGAAGGCAAAACTCAGGGAGCATCGAGATCAGCTCTCGAAACAAGAAATCGAGGGAAAAGCTTCGGTGGATGAGGAAGAATGTAGTGAGAAAACAGAGAGCTATGATAGTGGAAGTGATGGTAAGGAAAGTGAAGAAGAAGCTGCAAAGAACATGACAAGCACATCAAAGGATATTCGGGCAGGCAGAGGTCGGGGTCGAAAGAGATCTACACGCAAGTAGCGTGTAGTTGAGCATGTTATAACCCAATGGTATGCCCTCTCCCTTTTTCTTTTTTGTTTCTTAGCCTCGAATGGGAATATCTGTAGATTCTTTAACATCTATACCATGTTAACAGAAGTCCAGATCTCCTTCTTTATGAGAAACAGAATTTTGTGTATTTTTTTTAAAGTAATTATGTCAAAACCCGATGGCTCTTTTCGTGCACCACATTCTCTCATGTTGTCAAATTAATTGTTCTAATTTGAGTAATTTTGAATCTTGAGGTCAGATTATTTCACGAAAAACAGATTTTCGAAAATAATTTTGTACAGTTAATTACATTTTTTTGGAAAACTGATTCTGAAAATTAAAAAATAATATTAATTTTATTAATAAATTAATATGTATGATTAAAATAAGAGTATAATATCATATGTGTTATTATTATCATAATAAAAATGTAATACTATATTATTAAATTTATTGATAAATATATTTTAATAATTAATATTTTTATTAAAATAATACTAAAATATAATATTCACATTAAATATATAAAATAATAGTATTTTGAGTATTTATGGTTTGAAGTGAAAAGTTCAAAAAATGATTTATGAAAAAATAATCCGTAAGTTATTTTTCAGAAAATACAAAGAAAATTATATTATTTAGAAAAAAATGAATTATATATATATTTATGTCAAACAAAGGTTTTCGGAAAACCAGTTACAGTAAAATTTCGAACCAATTGTTTATTGCCGTTTGCTTGCTTTTCGTGGACGTTGCCATTTTATAAATGGTTTATTGATGCTCTCTTTATGGGTTGACAAGGACTAATTAGTCATTATAAGGTTAGTTTCAGAAATGAATAATTGAAAACTTAGAAATTAATTTAATCAGAAGCTCTAAAATGGAAAGAGAGGAGGTATTTCAAAATTTCATATTCAGGATCTTTACTTTTTGAGTTCAAGTTGAAAATATTTGAACGAATTACACAGTGCTTGCTTCTCAATCTTCCTTTGCATGATCAAAATTGACAGAAATCAGCCCACTCTAGTTTCAATGCTCGCAAGCATTTTTATTTAGCTTTATTTATCAAGTCTTAATGTCCAAAAGTGCCCAAATTATGCTTTTTTATGCCAAATAAATGCCTACGTTTTTTTCGGCTCATCTAGGTGCCTAACGTTACAAACGTTATCACTTTAGGTGCCCGAGCCATCAACACCGTTAGTTTTGAACGTTTAAGTGACACATGCCATAATTTTGAATTTTTTTATAAAAAATATTAAAAATATTATTGTATTTATATAAAAAAACCCTAACTTTTCTTATATTATAAAAAAACCTAAAATCCCAAATCTTAACCTTAATCTACTGTCGCCACCCTCTCTGGCCACGACCACTGTCGCCGACGTAGTCCTTGTCATCATTCTAGTTATATGCCGCCATAGTTGTCGCCAATTCACCATCGGAATCGCGTGAGATCACAATTTTCATCCTAGGGTTCGCGGGATTTAAAACAACGATTTGTCGTCAATCGGTCGTCGACCGATCACGATTTCATAGGGGTTTTGGTCACCGGGGGAGGGGTGGTCGGGTGGAGCTTCTTCGACAAGAAAGGAAGGCGGTAGGCACGGGTTAGTGTTTGAAATGAAGATTTTCAAAGTTTAAGGTTATTTCAAAATGTGTTTTCTTTTTTAAAATGTAATTTTATTTTTTTATAAAATTTTTATAATTTTTTTAAAATTATCAGGTTGTGACACGTGTCACTTAACGGGAAAATTAACACCGTTAACGGCTCGGGCACCTAAAAAGGTAACGTTTATAACGTTAGGCACCTAAATGGACAAAAAAACATAGGCACTTATTTGGTAAAAAGGCATAGTTTGGGCACTTATTTAGGTATTAAGCCATTTATTAATTTCTTTTATTTTTTACTTTGGATAAATGACAAAAATAATCACTAAAATATATTGAGATAATCTTATTAATCACTAAAGTTTCAAAAATTATAAAATTGTCATTAAATTTTATCAAAATATAACAAAATGGTCATTAAACTTATCAAATTATAATAAAATGCTCTTTGAATTTATTAAATCTTTTACTATTTTATGGTGTGCAAAGATCATTTTATAACAACCCGACAAGTTTATTAACACTTTGTAATTTTTTAATAATCTGAAATAATATATGTTCATAATTTTTCTTAATCATTGACAATACACACCCTGCAGACGTATCCGTTCGAACTCAGACCTCAAAAAAGAGAATAACATTTCCTTTAATCACTTAAATCGCACGACATTTGTATACTTCACCCATTTTCCAAGGATTTGAAGCCATCGATACAGAGAATGCGGTGGGTTGGGGAATGCCTAGATTCAAGAAACACCCAAATGCCTCTAAACATTGGGTATGAACTATGTATTAAATTCCCCCTAATTTTTGGCACTTTTCTAGGATTTCAAACGATCAAAGAAATACTCAGCCTTGTAGCGTCACAGTAATTGAAGGCATGATCGGAAGTACAGAGGGGCACCCTATTTCATGTATGTAGAAAGTGGGTTTTTGGGGTCCGGAATAAAATTCTACGTGAAAATTCTTAATCTAAGGTGAAAAAAAAATCCAATAAAATATTTTGAATTTCTAAAATGAAATTTAAAGGACTTTTTTTGGATGTGTTGGTAGAATCTAAATTATATTACAAGAGTCGATATGAAGGAAAAAGTAGTACAAGAGTTGAGCTGAGAATTTAGGAAGAATACATGGAACACAAGTGATATTAAGCCTAAAAAAATAATCCAAACACAACGTAAATACACATGGTCGAGTTTTCAATCTAGTCGAGTTGTTTTGTCCAGTCAAAAGGTTCCCAGTCGCGAGTGAAATTCGCAACGGCCTGCTTCTGCTCCTCCACAGATTGGTGCCTCCGGCGCCGGTACATGTCCTCCTCTGCCAATTGTAGCATCCCTCTTATAACGTTGAGGCCAAGGCTACTCTTGAACTGGCTCTCATCGTCGATAACATGAACAAACCCTTTGTTTAGACCAAATTCCACATGGAAGTAGGGAAAATTTTTCGGGATCGAACCGCGCAATCCCTTCTCACTCGTGTCTATCAGCTTCTTTGCGTTGTGCTGGCTCCACTCATCTTCAGCTTCATCAATTGCCTGAAAAAAAAAACCTTGTTTTAGAATCACACGGAAAACAAATGCATTCGAACAATATATTATAACATGAAAATGTACAACTTATTGCTACTCAGCTAACTAGATCTTTAACCAACTTCATATGTCACGAACAACAGAAGGTTCTATCTCCGCCACCGGTGTTAATGTGAACTATTTTGGACACAAATGTTAATAGATAAAATGAAAGGGTAAAGCATACAAATAATCCCAGATTATAGGGCGCTGTTTTGTTGACTCTTCTAACTATTAAAGGTTACAAAATGATCCCATGACTATAGGATGTTATTTTGTTGAGTCCCTTGAATACTAGAACTTATAAAATGGTCATCCGACTATTCATATGTTTTAAACTTGTCATTTTCCGTTAAAAAATTGACGATTGTTTGAGCTAAAAGTTAACTTGAAGATTGTGATATGATAAAATCATATTTTAATAATGTTTACCGACACCACTGTTGTTTTCAAGCATTGACTCGACGATATAATGTTTCAAGCACTGGCTCAAAGACATAATATTTCAAGCACCGGCTCGACGACGCAATACAAACGGAGAGTCGATTCTCAAAATGCAACTCAAAAAGTTATGATATCAAATTTTATCCTATCTCAGTCAACGAATTAGCATCTAGCTCAGATGACATGCAATTTTTTAATAGAAAAAAACGAATTTGAAGTATATAAATAGTCTGGTGACTTTTTTGTTACTTTTAATAGTTAAATAACCATTTTGTAACTTTTGATAGTCAGGAGGCTCAACAAAACAACATCCTATAGTCGGGGAACTATTTGTTTAATTTACCCTAAATGAATAGAACCTTACCTTTTTAAAATACACAGGAGCCTGCTTTGCAATTTCCCGTGGCACCGGAATGCATTCAATCGTACAATGACGACGCTGTTGTGCCAATCCCATAACAGTTTCTAGGAAAACCATCTCCTTGTCTTGCTTGGCAAACATCATAATTAAGCATTTCTTGAAGTTGCGAATTTCATCCCACACATTGTTGTCGATTGTTCTCGTGGCCGACTCATGCTGTCAAGGGAAAAAGAGTTTGCATTCTGAATAAGGATACATCAAACAGTAAAGCAGAAGATATAGACTTGTTTTCGTCATTTGATCTATACATCCCATATAAACATATCAAAATCAACACTGTTTAGCTTAGGTGGCATGAAATGCAAATGGAAAGACCCTATTAATAATACTAAAATCTTTCAAAGCCATGAACTGTAGTTAAAAAGATCACATTTTATAACCAGTCTGATGCAGTTAACATTTAAGGACTAAAGCAAAGAGATATATGACGACACCATAGACAGTACCTGCATTGGTAAGATGCAGCAGTGACCTGGCACAACAGGCTGCCACTGTGGCAGCATCAAGTATGTGAAATTTGCTATAGCAACAACAAGATGCTTTGGTCTGTTGGGGTTCTCAAAGCAGAACAGACAGCGCTCTTGCTGAGTCAATATACGTCTAGCCAAATGATTGTTTCCAGAGACCTTCTGATTGCTTTCCCTGCCCTTCTTTTGGGATTTCCTGCTTGGACCATCTTCATAGTCGTATTCATCATCTGCCTGACCAGATAAACTGAATTTTTTGTTCTGCATTATTCTTTGGGCTAGATGCCTATCGGAATCATCATCATCCTTCCCTTTCCTAACCGATACATCATGAACTACAAATCTAGATAAAATACAAAAATTATTATCAGAAGAGAATAATTATTTGTAAGATGCAAAGGGAGAAAATGTAAAAGGATATTGAAATGGAAGTTAGAATGCAACGTTATAGAAGGGAATTCGTTTTTACTTTATTAAAAAAGTCACTGAAAAGAGAAACAAATCACTTTGCAATTTGCCAAGTTTGAAATACTGAATGATACTCTCTTAGAGAGCTATAAGCTCACTATATTAAGCTTATTTGAAACAGCAGTTTCAGAATTGGGAGTACCAAATTACCAATGAAATATAAAGATGAAAAATTACCTGCTTCTGTTGTCAACATTCTGCTGCATAGTGGCATGATCTCCAGTGCTCTGCTTAGCCTTCAAGTTCTCAACTTCCAGCTAATAAAAAAAAAACCACCAAAACAAATTACATTAACTATAGACAAACTTAAGCCCCATACTTGAAACTTTAAATAGGAGAGAAAAGAAATGTTCAAGTGCATAAGGTGTATATGGAAACAACTAAAACTTATGATCTTTTAGTTTAGTGTAAAGTTAAACAGGGTTTTAATACTTGGACAATAGGTTGTAGCATACCTCAACAAAAGGCTTTAACTACCTATATTTTCAAGATCCAGGAAACATTTGACCGTTATAATCTCAACATGTGATGATTTGCTTGAGATTATCTTTCTATTAATGCAATAACAAAACTTTGGAATTTATCGGTAAGCATTGGATCAATAGACTCCTCAATTAAATCAAAGTATTGTATGAAAGCAAAAAGTTGTCTTACCAGAAGTTTCTCAGCTTCTTCATGCTTTCCCTTCAACTGAAGCTGCAAAGCCTTAGCTGCCAATTGATTTATGCTCAAAGTTTCCTTTGAAATTGTAGTAGCTTCACAACGTTCTTTTGTCTCTGATGCTATAACTTTGGAATCCACATTTCCATCATCATTTGCATGTGAACCAGATGCAATAGTATCATTCCTCTGCTTACGAAGAAATTCTTGCATGAAATTTCCATCATCGGTAAACTTATTTGCAGTTGATGTAGCAACAGCATTTTTAGCAGGACTATCATGATGTTTTCGTTTTCCCCAGGATAATGAATCACGGACTTTTGGGGCCCTCATCTCAGAATGTCGAAGAGATACATCCCGCAGATAGTCTCGATTAGTGTTCTGGCAATCAAAACCATAATAAAGATTAGAACATCTGCTGTTCCTTGATTACTGGAGTGCAAGCACTACCTTTTTTTTATTTAAACTAACATATTGCGAAACCGAGCTAGGTGTCATTGCAAGTACCCTTTTAGAATTTCTTTCACTTTGATTGTCTGCAACATTTTGCTTCTCATCGTCTGGGCCCTGCTTTCTATTTCTTATGGCATGAAGATGGGCTCGAGGTGCAGCAGCTCTACGAGATTTTCCATACTCGGCCAATATATCAAGAGAACCCCAACGTTCTAGTACAACCTGTATAGTTTTGACAGTTGATTAATAAAGATTAATAAAGTATAGCACCCTTCCATGATACGAATTTTCCCTGAAGATTAATAGAGACCGCAGAAACATTACCTCCTCAATGCTTCGTCCTTCTCGAGCAGCTTGCTCTTCTGCACGCTTCAAAGATTTAAGTCTCCAACTAGCACCTCCATCCCCTACAACCGAAGAAGATAAAAGCCTGTCTACAGAAGCTCTCTTTTCATCTGCTTCCTCTGGATAACCAGTTCCATTATCTTTCAGATATGGATTCAACTCTCTAGGATGTGTTGTCTTTATCTGGCAAAAGTATATGTACTATTGTCACCTAAAGTTTCATGCACTCATAAAATAAAAAGGCAGAAGCTAAAGAATGCATAACCCATAAAAAATGAATCATAATATACATTCAAACTCGCTTCGAACACTCCTAAGTGGAACATAACTAAAGCAATTTTCAGAAATATACAAGAGAATGAAGCTTATCAAATCCTCATATAAAAAGTAGGAATTTTTTCTAAACACGAAAGGAACCGAAAAACTAATAAGATATTCTTTTACTTTAAAGTAAAAATGTATATCTCCGGCAGCAAGCATTTGTTAAATAAAATAAAAGGGAAAACAGACATCATAATAATAGTTCAAGTGTTGTACCTCCTTAGTAGGAGGCTCCTCAAGTTGTTCAACAGGCACTGAAGGATTCTTATCAGGCTTACATGCAGGTTTAAGCATCCACTCTAATCCAATTTCTTTCCTTTCAATCTCATTCTCTTTCAAAGAAGAATATTCTCTACCATCATCTGCAAACCAAAAGCAATTATAATAATAATAATAATTGATAAATGTCCCAGATGAACTAATAATCAATCATTCAAAACAAAAAATTGTCTTTCCCTACCCTTTTTCTTTCCGACTCCTGAATTTCGTCTTTGATCCTCTTCTTCGGATGAATATTCCTCTGATGCAGGAGAATATCGTTTCTTTTTACGCCTTGATCGTTTCTTAGACCTACCGCTGAGTTCATCACCTGAACTATCATTTCTAACCCTCTTATCCTTTCTCCTCTTCCTATGCCTCTTTTCATCTGAATCAGAACTCCCTTCGCTCTCGCTTTTGTCCGAATACTCCTCAGATGAATACCACTTCTTATTTCTTCTAGACCCTTTTCCTATTCTCTCAAGATCATCGTCAGAAGAACCACTATACCCTGAACTTTTCTTTTTCCTTTTATGCTTTTCCTTTTTACTACCATACTTTTTCTTCTTCGCGTCTGAGATCTCATCTTCTTCCTAGTACCAAATATGGAGAAACAAAAAATCAAATGAGCAAACTTCAATAATCAAAATAGCAGAAGAAAAAGAAATTGATGATTATACCTTATCAATCTGATCACGAGGTACAATCCTAACCCCAGAAAGCATTTTCCTACAGAATTAAGGAAAGTTTTAATTGAATTAATTTTTATGACATCATATATTGCTACCAAATTAGAGAAGTGTATTTTAAAAAAAATAAGCAAACTCACCGTAGCAAAGAGGAGGAAGACAGCGCCTGTGGTTAGGGTTTGGGCAGGGAGGTTGCAGCGGTTAATTTGGATTTTTGGCTTGTGTTTTGAAGAGGGGAGGGGGCGGGGTTGTATTCGTAGGATTTGGGGGATTCTAGCCAAGTGAAATTTAGTTCATATGTTGGAGGATAATGGCGGTCAAGAAGGCGAAGAGCGGTGGTTGTCTTGTTTCTCGCAGTGGATGGCGCTTCTATGTATTTGATGAAGTTTCTGCATTTATAGATCGTTTGGTTTTTGCAATATGACCATTTTTTAAGGTAATTTTTGAATGACAATTTTTTTTAAAGAAAGGAAGAGTTGTAATGTTGAACTGTCCGTCCAGCTCAGTTGGTAGAGTACAAGGTTTTTAATTTTGGGGTCGTGGGATCGAGTCTCATGGTGGGCAATTCATAATTCTGACTGCAGGAGGTCTTCTACGAAAGCTGCTCTCAACTCAATGTTGGGGACAGCCTACTACCCTATCTCCCCTTACCCCATTACATATCAAGGAGTGATTCATCCATTATTTGTTTCTAAGATCAACTCTAACGTATCACTGAAGTGGCTGTAATCTCCATTTTGGAGAAGAATTTTAACTCTCGCCCATCGTCATTTTAATGTTGGATTGCGATTTGGTGACAGTTACAGTTGCACGTTACAATTGGCGTTGCACTGTAGTTGCGTTATATTTTTTTTTGGGTTTGAAAATTTGTGTAACTTTGTTTTGAGGAAGAAATAGGTGGTTTTGAGGAAAAAAGAGAGAAAAATGTTTTTTTTGAGGAAGTTCAAAGGAAAAGGAAAAGAGTGTGGTTGTTATTCTGCAAATTTTTCTGAGGTTAGAAGAAGAAGAACAAAGAAGAAAGAATTTTAAAGCAGACGTGGTAAACGTATGTGTTTATTTCTTGGGTAAAGTTCAAAATCGATCACTGAACTATTCTACAATAATATTTTGATCAGTTAACTTTTAAAAGTTATAAAATAAATATTAAACTTGTAATTACATGGAACACAAATAAAAAATAGTTTTCAAACGAGAAGAATATGAATGAATCCCAACTCGAAACTTCTCATTCATACTGAACGGTAATTTAATGAATTTTATTTTATTTTATATTTGCAAAATCAATATTATAATAGTTAAATATTGTGAATAAAGTAGAGTTTGTGGTAATGTAGAGATAGTGTTGGAGATGAATTATTGTTTCATCTTTAGAGTAGAGATAGAGATGCTGTAGAGTAGAGATGAGGGCTGGAGATGGCCTAAGACTGAAATTCATTCAATTTTATGATGTCACTTGGCAAAGAAAACGGGAGAAGGTTGAACTCTTTTCTCATATCTCATTTTTTTTTACAAAGTTGTCTTCTTCTTTTCAAACTTCAGCTTCTCTCTTGTGGATTGGGCAAAAGTAATAGTTAGGGATAGGCATAGGTCAGGTTGGGTTGGATTTTTGATCCACCCGACTCGAGAACAATAAGTCCTCCACTTGAGATCTGACCCGTATGAAACAAGATTTTATCTGACCTGAAATAATAAAAAATATCATTTTATTCAATAAAAATAGTGACTTAATTGAAAAAAATAATATATAGAGAGGTATTATTGTAATTATACCTAAATATATAAGGTAAAATTATATATTTTTTCGGGTCGGGTCGGGTATTTTTCACCCTAAACCCGACCCGACCCGAACATTACATTTAAAAAACCTAACCCGAACCCGAATTTTTTTTTAAAAAAAACCCAATCGTGTTAGAACCCATCGGATTCGGGTGCCATACCCATCCATAGTAATAGTTTTGAGATCATTTCTTCCCTATTTCAATATTGTAAGGTAAATAGTGGAATCCTTGCCTCTTAAGCTTCCATTCAAGCTTTATCCCTCAAGTTTTGACCATGAAACGCCATAGTTGGGGGTTTAGAGAGGTTTTAGCAAATCTGATAAAACCAACTTATTATTTGGTAAATGGAACCTTTAGGAAGTCAATTATCTTCTTATTGAGTTTATAAACAAGTTATTAATTCGTTCCTTGTTCTTTGATTACTGAAAAAGGTGAGAGAAAGCTCCAAAGGCAAAGGCAAATATAAGCTTCTTCTTTGGTGAGCTTAGAGTGTTTTCTTACAGCTTAGGAGTAAGGTAACACACTTCTAACTCATCTATACCATATGTAGATCATTCTATTATAATTGCTAAGCTTGTATAAGTGCATGGAGCGTATAAGTGCATTTGGATTTAAATATGATTATTGATGAATTATATGTTATTAAAGCATGAAAATGACTTACCATGATCCATTCTAACTCACATAAGCTTCACATAGTGTTTAAGGGCCTTAAAAGGACTTAGGGGTTTAGTGAGGTGTCAAACTCGTGTAAAAACGTAGTATTTCTGGGTTTAGATATTAGTACTAGATGAACAAAATTGATAATGTTCGTCAGACTGTAAAAAACTAAGGGTTTTTAATTGGGTAGTGTCAATACTCTGTTCATAGAGTATTTGTACTGCTCTTAGGGTATCAATATTAAGGATTTAGGTATTAGTACCATCGTTAGATTGCAAATTCCAATAGCCGATTTTGGTATTAGTACTCGAACAATAACGATACCCTCTAAAGAAGAAGTATCGATACTATAAATAGGAGTATCAATACTACGTTAATTTTCCAAACTTTGAATCCAAATTTGGTATCGACGCCCAAGGAGGGAAGTATCGATGCTCCATACAGTAGTATCGATACTATTAGTCTTTCTCAAAACATCAAATATATGATTGGTATCAGTACCAGGGGAGAGTACTAATACCCAAGAATTGGTATCGATACTGAATGGCTTAGTATCAGTACCATCAGACTAAAATAGAAAAAAAATCTAAGTTCGATATAAGGACTTGAGAGGGATTCAAGGATCAACATAATTACTCAATAAATATTATATGTGGAAACGTCAAAGAATTTGTAATATGTATAAGAACATTACGAAGAATAATGCCATAAAAATTCCATTGTTTAACGCTCAAGAAACGATAAGGACACTTGAGTTACTTGCATGTACACGCCAATTGGGTGTAGACCTTGATGCTAAGTGACCCTGGAGGCATCTCAATATTGAGATACTTTTAAGCTAGTTGGGTGTAGACCTTGATGCTAAGTGACCCTGGAGGCATCTCAAGGAGTAGACTAACAGGACGTAGGCTCTGATGTTAAGTGACCCCATAAGCGTCCTAGGTATTGGGCAATGAGAGCCTTTCTAGATGAAGGTTTCAATGCTAAGAGACTTGGGTCTTATCTTGGGTATCTTGTGTAGGATAGAGGGTGTGAGTCCCGAGATGTTAAGTGACCCTCCTACTACACCATGATACCTACCCATGTTTGTGTGTTAATGTTCTTATATGTTCATGACTATACTTGCTCACACGCTTATGTAACAAATGCATATAGTATAGTAAAGTTATTTGTGTGAGATCGAGCTTGTGAGCTCAATGTTGGGAATGTGTTTTCGTCCGTAGGTTCTTAGGAGGACAGATCGAGGAACTTATCGCCAGTACGAGTTTCCAGTGTGGGTTTAATGATCAGAGTACATCTTGGATATTTTTGGTGGTCATGTACTTTTCACCTTATATGTATTTGAGTCATAACTCTATTTTGAATATACTTCTTTTATTTTGGGATGTAATTTTAGGAGCTCTTCACATTTGTAGACTGAGTATACTATGTTTTGAACTATGATTTTGAATTTATGAATATGATACATGTTTCAGAAAAAATGGTTAGTTACTTTGTTGGTTTCATATGACACATTGACCCTTCGAATTTTGGGTAGAATCGAATTAGGTTGCTATAATATAAATCTAAGGGAAATGGATAGTAAGTTTAATCTAAATAGTAATTATCTAAGCTTGGGGTGAAGATATAAAAATCTATTAACGAAATTCTTCACATAACAAGATGCCCAATGCAACGATGAGACAAATCTCAAAATCCTTAGTAATTAATCAAATTTAAAGAATTTTTTTATAGAATAGAGGAAAATATGAAGAACGAACCCAAATAAATTTGGTAAGAAATTGAAAGAATTTTACATAATAAGAATGAACAGAGAAAAGAAAGACAAGCATAGAAAATAAAAAAGTACAGAGAATGAAAGTCAACAAGAAATCTAAAACAATAAGAAATTTTCTTATCTTAATCACTATCTCCGATGGAATGATTTTGATATTTAGTAAGGGAGATCAATAAAGCATGATAGTTTTGGGTAACTTTGGGTTGAAGAGAGACTATAAAATAAGATTAAAAACTAGAAAAAGAAGGTAGCTGTAAGAACACTTTACATAATGTTTTCCTTGAGAAAAGAAAAGATTACAAACTCACTCCAAATCTAAGACCCCATCAAATTTTCCTCGAATCAATTATTATATCAGACACCATTCAAATTTGTAGACAAGCTCTATTGTTTACCTATATCTTCAGTATTGAAAAGTAAAGCCAACTTTCGGTGGAATTGTTGGCCACTTTCGGTGGAAAAGCAATCGAAATTGTCAAAATTAGGCGCATGAAATTGTTGAATTTCATGGATGGTAAAATCTTAATTTTAGTTATTGTAATTTAGGGTATTTACAAATTAGTCCTTAAGCTTCAACTATAAATACCCTAGCTCATTTAGCTTCAAAACCATCTCAAAGCATTCTAGCTTTCTTCCAATACTAGAGAATTTAGAGAGTCTCTTAAGAGTTGTTTTCTCATTTTTATCAAGAGAGAATTATCATTGTTTTCTCCTTGTTAGATCGAGAAAAGTTGTAATTCATATTTTCTCATAGTGAAATTCTTCTACCGTTGCCCGTGGTTTTTACCCCTATATTATTTAGGGGTTTTTCACGTAAATTTTGTGTCTCTTTTATCTTTATTTTTATTTTAACAAAATTATCAATTGCGATTTTGCTCTATCCGATAGCCTTCTTCCGCAACAATTGGTATCCGAGCCAGATTAGAGTGTGTAATATCTGCTTATTGTCTTTGTGGTTACCACCAAAAGGTAGATCCTCCAACATAATAAAGTAAGAAGTTATTACCCATTCTTTGAAGGTTCCAGAGAACTATTCACGATAGTGAAATAGTGGGAGCTATCCGTAAAAGAAGCTATGACAACGAAATTTGATATTGAAAAATTCAATGGGAGAAATTTCTCATTGTGGAAATTGAAGATGAAGGC